GATAGGTTGTGTAAGGAACTTATTTTATCGCTTCCAAGTTTTGACAAAACTTTTGAAATTGAATGTGATGCCTTAGGGATAGAAATTAGAGTTGTTTTAATGCAGGATTGAAAATTGATAGCTTACTTCAGTGAAAAGCTAAGTGATCCTACATGTGAAAAAAAGGTATATGCGCTTATTCGAGTTTTGGGGACATGGCAGCACTACTTATGGCCAAAGATGTTCGTGATTAACACCGATCATGAATCTTTAAAACATTTGACAGGTTAAGGTAAGTTAAGCAAGAGGCATGCAAGATAGATGGAGTTCATTGAGACATTCTCATATGTCATTCAGTACAAACAAGGTAAAGAAAATGATGTAGCACATGCGTTGTCAAGGAGGTATGTGATTTTAACTTCTTTAGGTACTAAATTGCTTGAATTTGAATATGTTAAGGACATGTATGCAAATGAACCAATTTTTCTAATATATATGAATCATATGATAAAGACTGTGGTCAGTTTCTTTAGGTGTGATTGTTATCTATTTTGGGAAAACAAATTATTTGTTTCTAATTGTTCAATGAGAGAGTTGTTAGTAAGGGAAACATATAGTGGGGCTTAATGGGACATTTAGGGAAGACCTTAGAGATACTAGGTGAGCATTTTTATTCTCCTAAAATGAAAATTGATGTTAATCGAGTTTCTAGTAGATGCATCACTTGTAAAAAAGCTAAGTCTAATGTTTTACCTCAAGGATTGTATATAACTCTATCTGTTCCTAGTGAACATTGGGTTGCTATTTCTATGGATTTTATATTAGGTTTACCTAGGACTAAAAAGGACAAGATTCGATATTTGTGGTAGTGGATAGAGATTTAGCAAAATGGCACATTTCATGCCATGTCATAAAACTAATGATGCCACCAATATAGTGGATCTATTCTTTAAAGAAGTAGTGCATTTACATAGGATTTTTAGGAGCATTGTATCGGATATGGACGTGAAATTCCTTAGTAACTTTTGGAGAGTTTTGTAGAATAAGTTAGGTGTAAAGTTACTGTTTTCTACAAATTGTCATCCATAAATTGATAGACAAACGAGGTAGTTAATAGGACCATGATACAATTGCCAGCACTGTAGTTAATAAAAATTTGAAAAGTTGGGAAGAGTGCTTACCATTCATTGAGTTTGCCTATAATAGGCCACATGTTCTACTACTTCTTGTTTGCCATTTAAAATTGCATATGATTTTAATCTACTAACATTTTTAGATTTAATTCATTTACCCGTTAATAAACAGGGTAGTTTAGATGGAAAGAAGAAGGCCTAATTGATGAAATC